AGCTCTCTTTTCATATTTGTCCTATAAATTCCTCCTCCTCATCTCCACCACGGCAGCTAACTGTTGGCTCACTCCTCAGTCTGCATGGTGGTATCAGCCTCCACATCCTGTGACCAGGGAGCTGGTCCTCAGCCAAGAGTGTATGTAGCATAATCCCACTATACCACAGCACTCAATAAACATTCCCTACTGCACTTAGATCTTGGGTGTTATTCCTCCTTGGGAAGTGATATTGGGAATGATTTTATTTCTGACATGTTGTATAGTAATTCTTTGCATTACAAACCCCTTTTTCATACTGGCTTGCCTTGTATGAAGTTAATCTTCACACCCTGTTGAGAAACAGCTTAGTTGCTTGTTGTAAAACCATTCCTCATGTGAGTCAGGAATTGCAAACTCAATATCCTTTTATATTCAGGCTTGTCATTCGCTATATGTAATGTGATGAGTGAAAGGTTGCTAATAAAACTAAATAAAAAAAACAGTTTGATTTGGAATTAAGTGTATTGGATGGACGGCCTCCTTTTGGTACAGTCAGCATTCAGGGGTTTTGTTTTTGTTTGTTTATAAAACTGATTTTAAAAGTTCACCTCCGTAAAAACATTTTTCCATACTGTGTGTGTGTAACTGTACGGATTTCAGTGTACCTCGGTTTTCTGTTATATTGTGTGTCAGTAAACAGCTGTGTTTTATTAATCTTGCTATATAACGAACTTTATAGATGTGAACTAAGATGGCCAATGACTTTCTCTGAGAAAAAGCAACTTCGATATTTGTTTTGTGATGACGGCATGAAGTACCATAAACCTAGTGCTAATGTCCATGGCACTTATAAAGTTTGCTAATCTTTAACTAGTACTTCCTTCAGTTTCCCTTAATCTGTACTTCCTGCCACAGAATAAAGCCACAGAATTTTATTCCAATCACATAACATTTACTTGAATGTTTCTAGTTTCTAGTGCTTTAGTCCCTCCCCAGGTAAAATCCTATAACCCATCTTTTACTATAACCCTAGAGTTTAAATTCCATTGTTTGTATGTAACGGCCCTAGGGGTTCAACATTATGTATAAAATTTCTTTTTCGCTTAATTTAAAATGATTGTGACATGCACTGCCATTTAATATAGCATAAGGTCCCTCTGCCTTCCATCAAAATATACTTTAGCAACAGAATGTCTCTTCAGCTGCTTTGAAACTCATTAGTAAAAAAGAATCCACACTGTCTTTCCAATCTCACTGAAATTGAGCATAATGTAGCTGTTCACAAACATGCTAAAATATCAGCAGAGCAAGCAGGATTACTAAAAAATAGCCAGAATCTTTTCTAGGGAAGGAAAATGTTTGCAAATATGAGTATTTGACAGACTGGAGTCTCTGTGCTTATTGTCAAGATGTTTTAACCATTAGATGTTTATTATTTTATAGCTATGGTTAGATTTAGTCATCAAACAAGAAACAAATTACATTTCTTCAAGCCATGGCATCAGATAAATCCTTGTGATTTGTCTTGTTATGGAGTATTTGTTAGATAGTGCTTGAAGTTGGCTGCTATAAGGACAAGAAAGAAATATCCAATGAATAGAGACATTTTTATTTCTGGTCTTTGACTAATTTATAACAGTCTATAGTCCAGATAATGGTTTCTATCTGTCACAGTCTATGTTTATTGTGACATTGTGCCAACATTTCTCCAGTTATTATCTGATCATTCTTAAAAGCTTTTAGTTCCATCATTCACTGGATAAAATAAATTTTTCAGGCCAGATCTGCAGATGTTACAGATCTTGTTCCACATTTTTGGGAAGTAATTGTTAGCCAGGTACACTACTTAATGTGCTTGATTAATGTGATGTAAGATCGCACAAGACATTTATGACACAGTAAGGGACCGATATGACAATGCGTTTTATAACTTGCAGAGCCGATGAAAGTGGAGCACTAGTATTTGCATTCCTCCTTGAGCATTTTGTCAAAGTCAGAGCAGTTCTCCCTACTCATCCAAGCACTTAGGGAGGCAATAACACGAGAAAGTCAATGGTCTGTAAGTTATAATATTGATTAAAGAAAGGAATATTGATAGATCTCTCGTATAACAACATAATGTCTTGTGGTGATTCAGAATACATACGATTTTTCAAAACCATCTGAAACACAGCAAGGTTACATTAGAAATTTAAATGTAATAAATGAGCTTAGAAGTCACAGCAAAGAATTAATGCTTAATGCAGCAGGGTTTGTTATTAAATTAATATACACTTGCAAACCTATTACTCATTATGAAGGCTTTAGCCTTGTGTTTAATTTCTTTGAAGTAGATAATACTGCGTGATTATATTATTGCTACTGTCTGTCAGTGTCCTTTATAATTTTTTAGGTTTGTTAAAGGATGTATAAAAAGGATTAGTTCTCCTGTACTAACTCCTGTACTGTACTAACACTATCTATATCCTGTACTATCCTGTACTGTCTCCTAGATTCTAGAGTAGGCAGTTCCTGGTCTGGTAAGACCTTCTGGGTGGAAAAAGTTATTTGAGCAATGTCCTCTCTGGGTATTGCTTTAAATTGAGTGTAATATGATAATATGTCTGCAACCATTCTGCTTCATTCTCAAGTAATGAAACAACAATATATTGTTGTTTATTGTGTTCATTAATTTAATCATTATTAATTATTGCCTTTGAATCTTTATTTTGTTTGTATATGTTGAATTCCTAAAAGTGTGGCTCACTCAACTATTTCTGTCTTGTCCCTCAGCCAGGCAGACATGCAGAAACATTTCAAATGACATTATCAATGTCATCAATAATTGTGTTGGAAATTGGAGCATTTCAGTTACTCCACATTTAAATTGTTAATGACAATTAGTAATGACTTGAACATTCAAAGTCACTACAAGTAAAAAAATCTAAATAATTACCTGAGGTCTAGCACCATGTTTGTTGCAAAACAAGACCTGCAGCTCACTAATTAGTTTTAACAATTGCTGATTATGGTTAATTATTTTTAATACAATTATTATTTGAACAGTAATTAAATATCCAAATTAATCTGAATGTGGCCCAGAGTATGGCAGATAGTTTTCTTGGAAGCCATATACTGTATACTGCAGTAGTCCTTTATTTTTTATTTATCCACAAATTCTTCATTTCATTTTATGCAATTGCAAATACTTGTGGCTGCCCACCCAGTTGCCACCAGTTTTTCTACATTCTTTCTTTCCCAAGATTACAAACCCTAATTATTCTGTAATTAGTCTGTTTTGTGCTTCCACAAAGCTATGCAATTGGTCTGCAGGTTTTATACTACACAGACACTTTGAAACTCCCTTTCTTACTGTAGGTGCTTGCATTGGCTCTGAATAATGAACTGATGTATCATGAAAAGCTTTGGTGAAATAAAATGCCGTGGGATTGGGAAAGAGGAAGATTTCCGCACTTGAAACTTGAATATAGACAAATAACTTGAGCACATCTTTAGTGTGGATGAAAATGAGGCACTAGCACCACTGATTGCTCGAGTTCAACAAGGCCATTGACGTTCAGGAAGAGATTGTCAGAGTTACCAGTGATTAAGTGCATTGGAAACGTAAGGCAGGTGACAAAGTGAGGAGAACTTTGAGGACTCTTGAGCAGGTGAAGGTTGAAATCCAAAGTCCTTAACTGAGTTTAGAGAGCAAGTGGCTGAATATAGGATTTAGCAGCAGTGGAAAGAGAAATGGCAGGTTCAGGAAGCAGGTCCAGGTTCCTGGAGTGCTGGTGAAAGGTTAGGGGCTGTACACTAGTAGTGGCCCCGTCCTTGGTAGAAGCATCCAGCAGTCCTGAGAGATGCAGGATTTATCAGTCCGAGGGTAGTGTGCAGAAGCCAAGGCTGGTTCCCAATGACAGGAATCACTGCTTGAATGGAGGGTTGGTAGAGAGTCAGCAACCACTTGAAGGAGTTCAGTGAAACCTCGGCACGGGTACAGTAGGTATCACAGTGGAACAGCGGCAGCGGGAAGATGGCAGTACACTACCCAAACAGCTTGTAGGGCAGTGGTGAAAACTTACAAGCAAGCTATAGTAGTGGCAGGCCAATATCAGAATTGCACTCACGATAACGAATTCTTATGTAATTTTTTTAAGTCAGAAGTCAGTAATGAGAAAGTGATGGTGGGGGGGGGGGAGGTTAAGACAGTAGAACACCATTTGAAACATCCATCTTTTTTCTAACCACTTTATCCAATATAGGCTTGCGGGGGAGCCAGTGCCTATCCCAGCAAGCAACGGCCACAAGGCAGGATACACCCTGGGTGGGATGCCAGTCCATTGCAGTTCACACACAGACAAACATGCACACACTCACCCCAAGGTGAATTTTTCCCAGAAGCCAATTAACCTACAAATATGTGTTTGGACTGCGGGAGGGAAAATAGAGCACCATTGGAAACAGACCTAAAAGTGTCTTGACAGTAGCAAGAAAGGAGAGCAGTGGCAAACTTGCTGGCACTTCAGTATTAAGATAATGAACATGGAAATATTGGATTTGAGGTTTGTATTTATAACTAGAATTGGTGAAACATACCTTATTACAGAAGCCTACAGTTGATGCCTTTGACTGAACTTTATTTAATTAAATACAGTTTTGAAAGCTACTAGTTGAAAAAGCATCCCTTTACCAAATAAAATAATTGTGCCATTAGTATTTTGTTGGTTTGAAGGAATGTTTACTCAGACATTTCTAAATGTATAGTAGACTTATCCTTTCCAAACAATAAAACACAAAGAAAAGTTATTTCATCATCAGGAATATAATATCCTTGACTACATTATTTTTAAATATTTACTTTCTGATATTCCAAATTTCCTCGTCATTTGACAAACAAATTAAGCAGATCCCTATCTTTTCTTCTTCTCCCACTACTAACCAAACTATAGGTGTTTGGTGTCTCTCCTTCAACTAAAAATGGTCCTACTGAAGAGCCTGTGTCTATACTTTCATCTGTGCTTCTCTTCCCGGCTCAGGTGTCTGACAGGTGTGACTATGTCTTTGTGAACGGGAAGGAGATGAGGGGGAAGGTGAGGATTACAGTGAACTTCTTCTATGGCTACCTCAGCGCCCAGCTGGAAATGACTGTCTGGATCCCACGCCTCCCCCTGCAGATAGAGGTGTCTGACACTGAGCTCAGTCAGATCAAAGGCTGGAGGGTGCCCATCTCCACCAGCAAAAGGTAAGCCACTCCAGACAGGACTGATGATCAGCAGTCAATTAAGAATGTGTGTAGAGGAAACAAAACCAGGATTTTTAAACAAAACTGTTAAGATAAGCAGGTTTTGAAAATATACACCTATCAAAGAGAAGAGAAGACTCCAAAACTGTCTTCCTAGTTTTACATTATGCCCTCTATTTCCAACATGAAGGTTGGAAGAAGATAACTGGCAGTGAAAAAATGAACCTACCTTTGATTAAACACAAGATAAAGAGTTAAATGCACCTTACTAAAGCTTCAGACTTTATCGCAGGAAAAAGAAAGACTCAGAATAAACAACTAATAGGAACTAGCCAAATCATTGGGAGATCCATTAGTTTGTTACTGCGGACATCGAAAGAGAGTGAGATGTTGTTTGTGTTTAAGGCCGAGCTGGGAGAGTGATGAGGAGGAAGAGGACCGTAAAGGAAGAGGCTGCATGCTACAGTACCAGCATGCACTGGTGCGAGTGTTCACACACTTTGTGGCCGAGCAGTCAGATCCCCGTGAGCAGTTGGCTTATTTCCTGGGCCCGGACTGGCAGGTGGACATCACCGAGCTGGTCCGCTACTTCCTGAAAGTGGAGGACCCGCGGATCGCCAGACTGCAGGCTGGAAGAATACTAGCTGGTCGTGACGTTGGAGTGACCACTATCCAGGTAAGAACATAGCCACTGGTGAAAACTTTGGGTCATCAAGGTAGTGCTCTCCAACTTCTGTCCCACACATCTTACAACCTGTTATCCAGTGATACACACAGTTGAGTCAAATCAGGGCTTGGTTAAATCGATCTCGAGAGATGCTCTGGATTTTGAAGAATGGATTTGTAAATCATCTTGGTGTATCAAGAAAAAAATCCTTTCGTGTCTTTTAGCTTTAGATCTCTCTACAACTGTAATGGTCCAGAGCACATTTTAGCAGAGACAAGCCCATTACAAGAAGTCGATGAGGTTTCTTTGTTTGCTTGGCAGGTGCTGTCCCCTCTGTCAGACTCCATCCTGGCGGAGAAGACGGTGACCGTGCTGGATGACAAGGTGGCCATCACAGAGCTGGGGGTGCAGCTGGTCACAGGGCTCTCCCTCTCCCTCCAGCTCAGTCCAGGAAGTAACAGGGCCATCATCGCCACGGCAACCACACAGGAGCTACTGCACAGCCCTAAACAGGTTCCATTGCTAAACCTTGCATTAATAAAAAGATCAGTTAAGTTAGTGCTCAGTTATATTTATGAAAGTATAATTATAACAATATTGTTTTGTAAGTTATAAAATATATTGAGTTGAAATTCCATGATTAAAACTCAGAACCTTAATTAAAATGGCAATCTACAAAAGACACTAGGCCAATACCATTTAGAAAGTCCTGGATTCTGATATATCACTAGAATGCATTAAGTCTTAGCTATTATAATGTTAATTAATAGTAATGGCTAAATATACAGTATAATGATCAGCAGTTCAAGGCAAATTTTAAATGTTGTAAACAGTATTTTGCTATAAAGATATAGAAGGTTGAGTTTTAGAAGAGTGCAAGGGATTTACTTCTGACTGTTGTATGAAACATTAAATCGTTATTAAATAAATTAAACATGGGTTTTGTGTTGCTCAGGAGGCTCAGATCAGCTCTTGGATCCAGTTCAGCGATGGCTCCATGTCGCCTCTGGACATCTACGACTCCAGCTACTACATGCTGTCTGTGACGTCACTAGATGAAGCGGTGGTGTCCGTGCGGCAGGACCCTTCGGAGCGATTTCCCGTGGTGCTGGCGGAAGGAGAGGGCCAGGGGGCTGCGGTCAAGGTGGAAATGGTTATCAGCGAGGTCTGTCAGAAGTCCAAAAGGAAGAGTACCTTGGCGGTAGGTAGCGGAAGCGTCAGGGTGAGCTTCCACCCCAGCGCCAGGGGAAACAAAGAGGACCGCAGCAGTGACTATGGCAACGACGGGGAAGAGCTCGAGAACAGGAAGAACGCGCGCAAACAGATGACGCCCTCACAGGGCATGACGGGTACAGACGGGCGCTTCTACGGGAGTTCCCTGTCGGATCGGGAGGAAAGTGCCATGAGGAAAATAACCACAACGGCTAAGTCGGTCGTTAGGGATGTTGCCATGGGAAGCATCTCCAGTGGTGCTGGATGGGATCACAGTAACATAATTGGCTACACAAACTTCCCTTCACAAGTGGATGTTCCCAGAAACAATGGGGCAGAGGTGGAGAGCGACCTAGCTCAAACACCCCGCTCTTTGACAGACCTGGAGATTGGGATGTACGCGCTGCTGGGTGTCTTCTGCCTGGCCATCCTCGTCTTTCTCCTGAACTGTGTGTCCTATGTCCTGAAGTTCAGACGCAAGCAGGCCCCGGTGCAAGGCCAGGACACCGTGAGCCACATGCACGACTGGGTGTGGCTGGGGACAGACGCTGAGCTGGTAATGAACATGCCAGGCACCCCATCCCAGCATGAGAAACATAACACCACCGTCATAGACATTGGGCTTGGCCTGGAAAATGGAGCCAACCTTGTGAGTGGGGCAGTCCAACAAACTGACCCAATGTGTGGGTCCATGCAATCCATTAGAGCAAAACACAAGAATGAATCCCTCAACTCCCCTACTACAAAGAGAAAGAGAGTTAAGTTCACCACCTTCACCTCCATTTCCTTAGACAACCGCCTCCCCTCCACTGACTCCGCTCTGAAGGACCATGAGATGGACATTAAGTGGGTTGGGCAGGAGGAGAACTGTGTGGAATCCAAAGTAGTTAATGGAGAGCTTCTGGACCATTTATGATGGAATTTTAACTGGGGTTGGATGCATTTCTGTTCACCTTTATGCCTTCTGTTATTGGTAAGGGATGGTAATGCTTTTATTACAGCACTCCCTGTGTATTTTTGCCCTGTATGGGGCTTTAAGAGCAGAGCTCTAGAAATTAGTCTGCCGTTGTGTTTAGTGGCATTCCAGGCTTTTTTTAAAACACTTCGATCAAGCACAGGGGTGGGCCAAGTAAGGAAATAACTTAAACTCACAAAGTGCACATAATACATGACAATATCTGTCACTGTCTCAGTGAAACCCTCCTTGACGTGTACGAATGCAAACCACGGCTGGAGGCCCATAATCAAAAGCCACTTTGAATTGCTCAACTTCAATGAAATTCAAGATGCACATCCATAAATATGAGCAAAACAGCATATTCAGATGAACTGAGAGGCTCCCCGTTTGAAGTGAACTCCATTAAAAATGGGCATCTGCAGGTTGTGTACAGACTTATATAGAATCTTTCATGTGGGTTTAGTTTCTTGGTGTCTTATTGATAGTATGGGAATTTTTCCCCTTCACAGCTGCTCAGAACTGAACATGCATACTGTATATGCACTGAAATGTGTAGAAACCCAATTTGCATTCATCACCTGCATGCCACTGTTCTCAAATCTGAGAAACACGTATTTGACAAAAAAGGGATGATTTTATATATGTGTGTGTATATATATGCTGTGTATAGTGTATAAACATTAATTTAAACTTCAATCTTTTTTTCTATCTGTACTGTTTTCTGTTGTTTTTTTTAAAAGTCAAAATAATAGCTAATTTCAACTGTCTACCTGATCATTAAATATTTTCATACTATGGTGTAAATTTTTTAAAAATGTAACATTAAGAACACTCAGAAGGACATGAGCACTAAAATTTAGATTTTGCCATTTATGCTTTTCTTTTATGTTATCATAAGAGCTAGGAAAAATGCTCTTTTTCTTGTTTTTCCACTAAAAATATTGAAAAGTAATGTTTTATGTACTAAAAAAATTAAATAGATTGTCACATAAACTTTACCTTTGATTGCAAACTTAAGAACATTAACATGAGTGAACTTGTCTACCAAGAAAGAGTGAAATTTAAAGTACTGAAATGTTTGATTATTAAAGATTATATAGAAAACAGAAAAAAGCAGACATGCTATGTGGTTTTGTGTGCATACAACGGCTTTAATCTGCTGATAACTCTTAACCCTTGATAGCTAAGTATGTTTAGAAACAATGAGATGGCCTAGAAAAAGAGCTTTGCATCTAAGTTTTAACTATAGTTACAGTATGTAGATGTTGTATCTATGGATTTCACTTTTTGAAGTTACAATAACCCATTTCCTGACATTGGTGTCTATAGAAAAACACACGTATTGAAGAAAGATGCAGTTTTGGTATTGGCATTTATAATTATAAATTATTAGGATTCTAGGAAATTACAGCTGAGTGATCTGTACATTCAGAGAGTGAAATGTATATTGCGTAACATTCTGCTCACCCACGATGTAAGACCTGTACAAAGCCACTTCTCATGCCTTATTAGGCCTGTCCCTTGTAAATGCTAGTATTTCCGTTCTTATAAGCATCATATAGTAATAATGTGTCTTTGAAAACCATCTTAAAGTTAAAGAGTGCTTCACCATACTACTCTACTGTTTCTTTCTCAGCAGTACAGTAAGTCTGTACTAGTTAATTAGTTTGTTTGCAAAATAAATTACTTTCACATGCTTGGCCCCGACTTGAGCCTATCAGATCACCGATTATGCTCAGGGTTTTTATTGTTTTAGCATTACAGTCTGAAAGCAAATGGCATTGCAGAGTTAGAATGCAGACAAGGCATTGTCAAATGACTGATTTTAAGGGCCCCTTTTATTGGGTTTGCCTTTTGTACAGTATGTTCTCTGGGATTTTAAAAGATGACACACCTACAGTGGATTCGTTATTGTGCCATCAATTTAAAAATCAGTCTAAGCGCAGTGACAACTCTAAAATGGTAAGATTGTAGATTTTTTTTTTTAAATCCTTTGATTTAACCCATGAATTGCTAAGTTTATACTACAGGCAGTTGCGGCCTGCCTTGTGTAATAAAACTTATGAACCACTCAGTATTAGTGGCAAAATTATTATTTTACAATAATAATTAATGGTATCTTGAATTTGAATTTGGTGCAATAATTAGTGTTGGTGCCTCACAGCCCTGGGGTCCTGTGTTTAATTCCCTGGGTGCTGTCTGCTGTGGAGTTTATATGGTCTTCAGGTTCTGTTATTTCCTTCCACAGTCCAAAGACATACTGGTGGGTTAATTGTCTTCTGGGAAAACTGGGCCTGGTGTGAGTGTGTGGATGTCTGTGCATGCCCTGTGATGGACTGGCGTCCCGTCCAGGGTGTTGGATGCATTTCTTTTCGGGATCAGCTCTGGCAAATCCGCAGCCCTGTACTGGATAAAGCTGTTAGAAAATGAATGGATACTTTGAATTGATATGGTGTTTTACGTAGAGGAGCACCACTTCATCTCCCACTGCAGAAATGCAACACACCAGGTAAGTGCGTATCTAAAAGGGAGAACTTTAGGAAACCTGGGCTGTGCGAGCCCTAAGTGAAATTTAGTACCACTACACCAGAGCTAACACTGCAAAAAGTACTGTGGGATCTGGTTTCATCTGAAGTTCAGCACCTCCTGCAGCACGGTGTCTACTGTCCCCATACTGGGGTTCTAGGTCTTAGAAATTCTGCTCCAGAGATGAGTGTCATGAGTGTCACTTACAGCAGTAATGTGGATTTACTTAGAAATCCTATCTCCCACGGTTCACCAGAACTGGTCTTGCTTAGCTTTTTAGATGTGACCAGGCTAATGTCAGTTGGTAACACTGCTGTCAAGGCTTGATAAATATAGCTCTTTTGTCCAATTACATAATCCCTGGATAGTACTAAATTTAGTATAATATTTTGTTTTTACTGGAGATTTTGTGATGTGATATTAAATCACCTATCATTTTATTTAAGACTATTACATATTCTAATTTTCAGAGATGCAGTGTAACTTTTATAGTGTAAGTATTTAATGAGGTGATTAAACCTCATACAGTATATATTTGACAGTACAGTGGTAATGAAGGAACATTCCTATGTGTGTATGAATGATTTTGGTACCTTTGCTCTTTTTTGACAAATGATCCCCAAGTGAACATCTTTTCACTGTGGTAAATATATTTTCTTGCTACAGGCTTGCAAACATCTACAAGGAAGTCTGTCTTATTGCCTGACACATGGTGTTACACCCCGCTGTCTGTGCAACACAGCTCCAGGCTTTCCTTTCTTTGTCATTTATTAGTCCTTATTTAGGATATGGCATTGCTGGAATGCAACAAGCATTGCAAACAAGAAGCAGTTGGTGAAAATACAGTTGCAACCTTCTTTCAGGATGTTTATTCCAATGTTCTGAATCAACCAAGGAAGATCAGTTTCTACAACAGTGATATGTAATATACTCTCCCATCTTGTCACATTCTATATAACATTCTGTTTACTGTATAACCCAGCTTTAAATTCCTTCACATATTCAGGCATTATTGATGGAGTTTGTGTTGACCCATTCTCCTTATCTCTCAGAACATATCTGAAAATAGCAGAGTACTGAAAACTGGTAAAAATGATTTTTCTTCATGGTACATGCTACTATCTCAAGTAAAAAATGTGCCTTGATGCTACACATTATTGTGCTTCGCTTTGCTTACTCCAAGTAGTGCTATGCAGTCTAAATTAGAACTGAGACGCTGTGGTTAAAGAGAGATACTGCATTTGTGTACAAGGTAAGTGGTAGCCAAAATATTTTTTAAATCTCAAATGCTTTATCAAGCCAAAGACACCTTTACTAAAAGTCTAAATAATAAGCACAAAATTATTTATTTACATAGGTGTTCAAGACAAGACATATATTGTTATTCACAACATAAAAGTATTAAATAAATGCACATATTTTATCATTTATGTAAATTGTACTCTAAGGTATATAGCTGGGCCGATTTATTTTGTGTTCTTGTTCATTTTTTCTTTATTTTTAATAGAGTACCTCTGGGAAAAACCTACTGTACCTCCAACATCTCCTGTTTCAAGCTGGTGTTCCCAGATCCCACTTAGATATGGAGGTAAGGCAATACCAGGGAATAAAATTTCTCAAAGCTTCACTGCTGTATGGCACTCTGAGATTTGGTATGCAACAGTACTCTTGTCTTGTAGATGCAGGTAATGGAAAAACCTTAAAGTCCCACGACAATTTTTCTAATGACTTTTACAATGTCGGGTGGTTTTATAAGTGGACATAGTGCAGAAAATACCTGCTGTATGCTATGACAAAAATGAATCCAGATGTAATCAAAAATAAGAAAGGTTAATGGAAGTGGACCATGAAGTAACTTGACTGCTGAGTGGAGACTTCAGGATAGCAAGCTCCTTGTTGTAACACTGACATAATGACACAGGGCATTACCCAGAACAGGCCCAACAATTCTAGGGAATCAAATGCACAGATTTAGCAATGCTTTGCTGTTTTGGGGGCCTTGGATTATTCGGAGGTTAAAAGGATTAGCCTGGCTTTTTTCTTTGCTCTGTTGCAAGATCCATAGTTGCTAGAGCTGGTATTGTAACTTGTCAATAAGCCAGTCCTTTTAATGCCATGGTTTGGAATATGAAATTGCAGGATTTTTTTAAGGCTGTGCAGCTGCCATTGTTTTTTCTCCAGATGAATGAATTAGAAACAATGACAGATGAAAGCTTTTAATCATCTGCCGAAATTAAACAAGTACACAATCGGTTGAAGTGTCTGCAATAGCGCCGTTTACAATAAGTCATGTGGCAAATTTCAAGATTAAAAATGAGAAAGTACGGTATTTGACTCCATTGAAAAAATGTATTGTGGTTCCGCACCCGTCATTTTCAATGCTATTATTGACATTATTTATGCTAAATAATAAATTAGTAATAATAAAGGTCAATAAATAACAGCAAAAACATGAATCAGTACAGATATTAGAAAAAACTACAGTAGTAAGATCTCCAAAACCTTACCTGAAGAAAAAGGTTGCCTAGTGCATGTTCCATATCTTGTACCTACCAATTGAAGAACATCACATTAAAAAATTCTAGGTATCCTAAAGATCTGGCATCAGAAGACAAAATACATTTGACTGCATCGAAAAAGATAAAAAGTTAACCATTAATCATTTAACAATGGCATATTATTTGTGATCACAAACTATGAATATATTGCAATGACAAGATACTGCTACTGTACACTTTACAGTAAGTGTACCAACAAAACACAGTTTAACATGTGAAAGAAATGCTAGAGTAGGATTTCTTAAATGCTTCACTTTTGTGCACCGGACCGTTATTCTGATGTAAATCTGTAAGTAAAACATTCAAGGAAATTTAGTTTTAATTGCACTTCATTATATTTGAAACCAATGCCTGTTCCTTTTCTTCCTTCCTTAAAAAACAAAACAAAACCTCCATGTACAGTACATTGCTTTGAAAGTACAGCAAAATATTAAGTTACATTCCAAACCTGGTCAAGCGCAATACTGCATTCCCATGAAGTACAAGACTAGAAAAACTAAAAAAAAGAAACCTTGTATACAAGAGCAGTAAACTTATCATCTATTCCTAAAAAATGTCTTAAAATAACAAATGAAACAAAGGAGACAAATGCCCCTTTTCAAATGGCCTGGACTGGTGAAACTGTTTATTTCCAGTATGGAATTTGCCGTTGTTCTCTTGCTGTGGCCAGGACAAGAAAGCGGAGTATGGGAAGAGGTTCTCAGGGAGCTTGGCTGATCTTCAGTGCAGCTGCTCAATGAGTCGCCGGTAGGTGTCCTTCTCCTTGGCCTTGCAGTGGTGCTCCTTCACGTACTTCTTCGCCTTTGACACCAGCCTCTCACGCAGCGAGGGCTCTGCCAGCAGCTTCCTGGACAGGTCCACGAACTCCTAACGGGCAAACGGCGCAACAGCAAGGCAACACTGAGAATGGACACTACCACGACATTGAATGAAACCTGAGCCAGCTATCTCTCACAATTGCTTTCTTTCTTCTCTAATAAAGTAAAATAATTATTTTTCTGACACGTCAAGCCTAAGTAAACCTTGTAGGGTAGAAATAATTTGCTGGTAAGAGTTCTAAGGTCAGTAGGTATGTATGTAAATGGTTTCACTTATACTGTATGTTGTTTTCCTTCATGAACGTATGAACAGGTTTATGGTTTAGAGAATAAATAGTCTTGTTATAATAAATTGCATTTCGTATTCACTATATGGCACAAAGACATAGTGTTGAAGGTAGTTGTTATTCAGCACAATGACTGATAAGTGCACCTATGTAATCAGTCCTGAGAGACCTACATTTATAGGCTTCACCGGCATCTAACAGCACCCAGCTGAAAACTTCCATTTATGGGAATTAAAAACAAACATGGCATCCAACTGTAATTAATTGCTAAGCTCATCAAGGTAAAAAAAAAGTAATTAAAATTACTGACAACCTCCCGAAAGAGTAAGGAAATCACAATTTAATGTATTTCTTCAGCATAGCTCAGTGTTCTGTGAGAGGCTAGTGCAGTCTGCTTTTTAAACAGATTTAACTTGGCTAGTGTTTTGAGACTCCTCAGGGAGCAGTGAGCAGAAATTTCAGTGCTTCATTGAAACTCGCAGCCTGATCTGTTGGAAAAGTAGTGTACATGGAATGCCAAGAGTCAAAAGACTAATTGCAGTGCTTTCGAATTGGAGGCTCTTTTCCTTAAAGAAGAGAGAGGTTTATGGTAGACAATCTCATGTTAGAATCTACAGGATAATTAAAACAATGAAATGATTTTTAAACAGTGTGTACTGTATCTACAAAATTTACATTCACCAGTTTCTCATCAAAGATAGGTTTTTCTCATGTGAAGTTCCTTTGACTTATAAAACCTTGTTAAATGTTGATGTTGTTTCAAATGGAAAGCAAATATCATTCAACACAATGATTGAAAATCACTCTGAATCAACAAAAGAACACGCTTAGCTTTTACAGATTTGGACAATGATTATCATTGTAAAATTTAAATTTAGCCCTTAATCCCATCAGTCCTAGCAACACATAGTGGGAAGTGAAGAAAGCATATTTTAAAGCATGTGTTAACACTCAAAGCTGGTCCATGCCCACCAACTGTGAAATCACAGATATTCTATGGCAGGGGTGGCAAACTCAGTTAATGGAGGAAATGGTGGTTTTTGACCAAGCTGGGTAGTCAATTAAACTATAAATGTAATTATTTTCACAATTAGACTCACAAGGATTTTTGTGTCTTTTTCTATAATGTCTTCTACAGTTGATTTAAACTAATATTTGCTTACTATTATTCAAATCTCATACGAAGTATAAGAAAATAGCAGTTATTTAAATAGACAAGCTATGTCAGTGAGAGCTCGAATGGAACAAATAACTACAAAGACTGTATGGGCTCCAGGAATCGAGTTTGGTCTCCCATGGCCTGAACTAACATTTACTTCAGTTTTGCACAAAAATGTTAAAGGAAACACTGCATTTTAGTATTCTTTATTTCCTCAATAAATTAATCTTAGAAGATGGCTTTTTTCTACAGCACTGAAATCATTGGGACTGAGGGCTGAAGCATGCCTGACCACCTAGGTTAGAGCTTTCTTTCCTTCTGATCCTAGTGAGAAAGGGAACTAGGTATTTAGGGACCATCTCTTTAAGTGCACAAGATTAGAGTAGCTCTGGGTTTTCTCTTAACTGTACACTACTCAAACTACTTTTTTTACTGAAAGGGTTTCAGAACATACAATCTAGAACTTGATACCCATCTTATTTCTAGAAATAGCCGGATGACATTGATTATTCAGTTAATTACTGATAACCAAATGAGGCTGATGGGCTGTAAGGCCTACCTTTGCCTATATTCTCTCTGCAATGGCCAGTAACCCTTACTGTATGAGACAGTATGAACTGTAATCACTACTATGTTTTACAGTATATAAGCTAATGTGTTTCTCTTTTGGTTGAGTTTTAAGTGGAAGTTTAAGAGGTTTGGGTTATAGTATACCACTTAACTCTGTGCTAACAAAAGCCCAGGATTATTAGTCTGTACTATAATGAACTGTCCACAGAGAATTCAGGGTAAAGGGCTTTGCCAGTGGTGTACACAAGGTTTGCGTTCTGTGTGTTCATTGTGTATCTGATAAAACCTGTACATGTTAAGCACCCTATTTGTCCTGGAGGGATATTTCATTATGCTTAAACCCCTGTTTTATACATTCACCGTGCACTCTGACCACCTGTTGCTCAGACTTATCCCTGGGCACTTTACTGGATATCACACTAATGTCCATTTCACACTACAGTGAAATCCCTCTGAGGCAGCATGTAATGTCTTTTCCTTTCAGTTCATAAACCTGGAGCAGTAATTAATATGGTCTGGCTCAAACTTTGTTTGCTTCCGGCTAATGCGCCACAGGGTTACACATAACCAGGCAGTTGTAACTTTGAATTAGACATGGCCTTGCAAAGTCTGGGCTATGCAAGGAGTCATATTTTGGAAAGGGTTCTCACTGGGGAGCACCACTTGTACCGGCAGCTAAGAAAGCATTCTACTGTGTACAATCTACAAGGGATCCATCTGCCCTGAGCCACAGATATGTTATTCTTATCAGCTAAAGCCATAAAATACTTTTTCCTTATAAATATCCATAAGTGTCAAGAGCAATCCACAGACAGTCAATGCACTGTAATCTGCGGAGGAAATCTGACTGAACATCTCAATGGTTTCTGATCTGCTGTATTTCAAAACGGGCTACCAATAAAGGCAGGGCTGGGTGGGAGGAGATCTCCTAAAGATCTTTCTTCACTACTGCGAGCAGCATGTCTCTGGAAGCCTTTGGTCTGTTCAGCAGCTGAAACAGGTGTCAAGTTTAGGCCTGGATGTCACTTTAATATGTCTCCCAAGACAAATATTTATGTTACATATTTATGACGATGAAAGTCTATCCAGTATTAGACTACCAAAGGGCTGTGGAGACAGGCAACACTTCAGAGTCACGGAAGGCCAAATTAGTGTACATAACTAAGTAGAGTACTGGCTTTAAGACCCACTTTTTGTCTCAGTAATGCTCACAGTAATACAGCACTGAACCTCCCTTCTTGGAAAGGACTTTTTTTTAGTTGTTGCTTTACCTGTGGGTTTGAAAAGAGAAGTCCTGTCTCTTCGTGTTTTATTACTGCTGCATTTCCTGGGATGTTTCTGGCCACAACAGGCACTTCCAGGTCCATTGCCTACAATACACAGTACATGAACTTGCATTATTGTACTGTACAATTGAATTCTTAAGACACTTTCATTTACTTGCACATCAAGCCAAATGGAAAAGTCCTTTAGGCAGACAGAGGTCTGTGTTGCTGTAGTTGAAAGCAGTAATAATCTTGTCTTTATTTTTTTCACATTACCCAACCACGTGGGTTAATTACATCTATCAGAGTAACTCAGCATCAGGTAGGAAAAATATCATGTGTCCCCTCAACCAAGTGAGGATTGCTATAATCCTCTGTGTTTAAAACAGATTAACAGGATTATGCTTGTGCTCTTTGATAGGGATGGAAAAAGACAATACACCACTGTTAATTCTGCTTTAATGAGGGTGAAACGGTCAGAACATTATGCTCAGACAGGCAAAGTGATAAAGTGCTTTCTACTGGCACAAAAGAATTTCAATTTCACCTCAGTTGCAGCCTAAGAGATGGAAGATGCAAGCTAAAATGACTATACTGAACAACAGAATGACATTAACACCAAAGATAATAAAATAAAAATAAAATAAAATAAAAAGTCTGTCTTCAAATCATATTTTCAGTCACTTATTTTCAGTATAGAAGAGGTACTTCCAAAATAGCAGTTACATTATTCTGAAAGGCAAGGTTTGACTGAAAAAATATATTTAATGTATTACTGAAAAATCCATGCTTGCCAAAACTGTTACATTTTCAATATCTTTTTGTGAACTATGAACAAAATTACATTTTTTAAAAGCAAACTCCACTCCATACCCCCCGAAAAAAGTGTATACAGTATATATTCTCTTGCTAGAATTCTACAGTTTTAAATGCAGTATTAAAGTAACTGCTAAAACTGATACACAGTGCACAAGTAAATAACGCCTTAAAGATATTCTCCATTTTTTAAAACATGCATTAGTCATAGGAGTGATGTTCTCTTCATAAGTACATTTCACAAAATAGATAAATACAGAAATAATAAAAAGGTACATTTAAAAACAAATCTGTTAGAAAAAACTAACAGTCCGCGTTGAGTATGGGGCAACATATACTGTAGGCTAAGATATATTGAAACAGAAGCTTGATCTCCAAGCTGTGGCAATTAAAGACAAGTATCTTTGTCTCTCGTTCTATTGTCACTGCTTGTTTCTTACTGATTCAAAAGCAAGTTCAGGCACCAGGTGCATCACTGACTGGAGCTGAGTTGAAAAATGCATGCAGAATTCTGGCAGAAATAAGATAGGGGATATCTATTTATGAAATCACAGACACAGAGAATGCTCTGATAACAGCTTTCCACTGAAGATTACAAAATTACTAAAGGGTTTATTTACTTCTAAAATGGCAGCTGACATCCCCTCAGAGACTGAACTGTTGACTACGGCAACTGATCTCCTCATTGCAGCATGCAGATCCTGCTGCCTTCTCTCTGCTGCCAGAAAGACCCCTTTTGCTCTGCAAAAGCAAAGTTAGAAGTTAAGGGCACTCATACTCATAGCAGACACACGGAGCAATATAAGAAGTAATATATGCTGATTCACTTCACAAAATGTTAGCGCCTGTTATGAATCCTACGGATTTATGCGAGTCTCTTGTTTATTTTAATCAATGATGATACAGTGTGAGGCTGGTGCACTAAGGGGTTTCAATTTCTCACACGGTGGTCACCTTCCGTTTAACTAAAAACAAAACAGCCTAACAACTCTTCAGTTATTTGATTTCAGAACATGTTTTCTTGTTTTACACCACTAGCAAGTTTTACTTTCATATTTAATTGTCTGAGTAAGTTACAATGCATTTCGTTCAATACTCTTATCATGAATGACTATGTGGTATGTGGTACTTACTGTATAGCTTTCTATTCCTGAAACGAGATTTCCAAAGCTCTGCCGTGACTCAGAGAGCAGGCGCAAACAAGCTGTTTTCTCTGCTGCTCTTTTTGTTATGCTGATAACATTGTACCACGAACCAATATACTGTACAATGAGAGTTGCTTGCTCTTGTGTATAAAGCAAACTTTTCAAATGAACAGTACCCTAACTTTAAATTCCTTTTCAGTAAGCAAAAAAGAGTGCTGCTAACTCTGACCAGAGCAACAAATTTTATCTAGAATACAGTACCGTCATAGATGATAAAAACTGAAATGATTTACCTTTTAACATTCACCTCCACTTCCTCTGTAAACAGGGGATCGATCTGAAACAAGATAAGGTCATTTTTAATAACATTTCAGCATATATCTGTATTGATCTATCTTGTTTGCAATATGGATGAATACAGGATGAATACACTTTTCTCTGCCCAGATGAGGTTTCTCGCAAGTATAAGATAATCCAATGAATACAACTTAGCCTTAGAGCTGAACTGATCAACGACTGAAAAGACCATTTTCCCTCTGTGCTCTCTTTTTAAAAAATCAGTGCTCTGTGTTTCACTGGACACAAAATCTGTCAATTTAGATTAAGACTCCTTGATGTAAAAGGGAAATCTTGAATCTCTGGCTGTTACAATGATCATTATTTTCTAAGTGAACTACCTTTTTCTTCATATAAGGGGTATGGATTATATTATGCATGGACATTTAGAATAGAATAAATATTGTAAATAAAGACATGAGAAATTAAGTATCGGGTTTAAAGACTATTTGTATGTTACAGATCAGTATTTTTCAAGGTAGGATGCAATTATTCCTGATTCCCTGATTTATTCTTGTACCTCAGAATTTTAGGTGTTCTCTCATTAAGATTCTCTGCTTCTTTAGGTGCACCTAACAAGCAGATGTGCTCGGTTTCTTGAACCAGAAATGGAAGAGATCCAGTTTGGCTGGCCTATCCGGCCCTGCTGGTTGTCTGCTTTGCTGGGGCTCTGGAACCTGGCTGGGTCTCCTGCCAACTCCGCAGCTGGAGGCACAGGTATGCTCCACTGATTAGGACTTAACAAGAACCCAGGACAATGGTTCAGAACGCGCACAAATGACATTCATTTAACATTTTACCAATTAATATTACACACCTTGTTGGATGTTATAGAGCATCACGTAATGATTCTAGAATGCTAATATGTATGCCCTGTTATCATTCTCATCTTTTCATTTTGGATTTTTAACATTACAATATTCCTCTATTTAAAACCGGTCTTGTAATCTAAGCCGTGTTAAAAGCGCAAAATATAGCCAAAGCCCTTTCAGATAGCTTCCTTTCTTCATCCATATCATGAATACTTTACTTACAAAATAAAAAAAGACACAGTAAGGTGCTAATTGACTTGTATAATATGTAGTCTCATTTACAACTTGCAGTATTCAAAGTCTCTATGTGAAACTAATAAGCAAATGCATGTGTTAATAGGTCTTGTGGTTGAAGTAGAAGTCATCCAGGGTAAGGCATAATATGAAACATTATTTTTCAACATGCTGTTGAATATGCCAATTAAAAGCCTGTGCTCCAATTACCAACCACCCTGCTTCCTGACACTTCATTTTCTTCAACCCAACATGGAGTGACAGGACAACTCTGATCCAATTACACTCCTAAGTGGAGTCAATCTTTGAGGTCATACTGCAGGAACAGCTGCTTTTATTACATTCCCTTCATGGATGGAAAAGGCATCAAGAGAAACAGAGGGCAGTGTGGGCTCATACTTGAAGAATGCCATCAGCTTGTTTGATTTTAATGAAATCCAGTGTTGGGTGTCTACAGCTGCACCTAAATACTTTGATCAAGCATCCTTTACAGAAAGGATGCAGGACCAATATTTACATGAATGCAAAAATATTTAGTACACTTTATGGAAAATAATGGAAAACTACTAGTTCTGATAAACCAGTAGGAAAATAAATCACAGAAATATCAGATTGACCTTTTTTCAAGAGCAATTCTGCTAGGAATTGTTTAAAATAGGTTCTGTCACTGACTAGGAAGTGGTAAAATGGTGTGTAAAACCTGAAGTCTGTTAAGATCATTTTCCAATGCTGACCAGCCGTAGAATCAAATTACTGAACCAACACCTGGGTTGTATTAGGTGTGTTGTCAGTATTTAGAATACCATGGTGCAGGACCTTGGTATGATCAACAAAATAAAAGATATGAGAATGGTTCTTAAATAATATGTACCGTACACCAAAGTATGAGACCGTGCTTATGCTAAGTTGTACTGATTTATAAAGGTGGAGATTCTTGATATTATTGATGGCAGAATCATAGATGAAATTGTTTCTTGTTTTACATATACTGCCTTGTGCAAGGCAACAGCATGATTACACTTGTGTGGACAGAACTGGCAATTGCTGATTGGTATGACCTTTGATTGGACAGTGCCATGAGTAGTGCTAGTATTAGCAGGTCCAGTATAAGCTATTATTGGTGATTAGACCAGGTTTCAATATGATCAATTGGATTCACTAGTCTCATTTTAAATAACCAAAAATTTAGTTAATCGTTTTATTAAATCAAAAGTGAGAAAAACAGATCAGGGTATTGAGATGGTTTACATAAGATCCAACATTTATGCACGGATGTATCAGACCAAAGATGTTTTTTTGGATGACTGACAATGTTGTTTCTAGTAATTGAAACTCTATGAACTCTATGAATTGGCTACATTACTCTGCTCTCCTCCCCACTGATAGCTGATGTGTGGTGAGTGTTCTGGTGCACTATGCCTGCCGTCGCATCATCCAGGTGGAGGCTGCACATTGGTGGTGGTGGAGGGGAGTCCCCATTACCTGTAAAGCGCTTTGAGTGGAGTGTCCAGAAAAGCGTTATATAAGTGTAAGCAATTATTATTATTATTATTATTATGATGATTATGATTATGATTATGATTATTAATTCTCGAGCGTCAAAAAAAGGAGACTAATATAAACACATGAAGACCTAGAATGAGGTTGTTGATGGAGACAAGGAAGAGTATTTGAATTGGTATTGCTGTACCATTCAGCATGAACTCAAAGACCACCACCACATTATAAAAGCAGGGCACGAGATTCTCCAGAAAAACAGAACAGAAGCAATGTGCTCATTCAGAGGGATATCTAAAAAATAAAATAAAAATGCAGAGATGATCAAACAGAACAAGCTCACGTGTCTAAGAACTTAAATTATTGTCTTTTTTTATGGGATCATTTACCATAATTTTATATTTGGATATATTTTATATTTCTAACAATTTTTTAAAAATCAGTGTGTAATATAAATTTAATTACTTTAATCTTTACCATCAGCCAGTACAATGCTATAGATCATGTTCCCTAAACATGCATTTCACAATGTTATTCTTTTAAAAAAGCCTCTTAAAGCCTGTCCTGTTGACAGATTTCAGAGATTGGGGTCATTTCCCAATCTGCTTAATTGCTGGAAGGGATTTACTTGCATTCACTGGCCCCTTGTACAGTGCTAGTAGAGTAATCTGGGCTAAAGACGCTTTATCGAGCTTTTGTTTGTTTGATTGTATTTATTTTTCCTGTTCAGATGAGAGTGATATCTAATTTATGCACTTATTATCTAAAAGCTTAGGAACTCTCACAGATACAAACAGGGAATTCAGAGTACAGGATATTGATTGATAAACCTGTCTGAAAGCCCTCAAATTCTCCCCCAAAGGAAACTAAGCAAATCAATGTTAAAGTAATGCATAGAAATGTAATTATGAAATGCAATAAATACATTTTCTTATTTCTGAATTATATTCACAGCAATAACTCTGAAGGAAATGTGTGTGTATTTGATATAGGAGTCACCAACTCTTTTAGATCCTACAGTATAAGATACCACTTCTCAATGGTGATACTAGGATTATGGGAAAAATCACAGCCTGTGCAAGTTGTTCAAAAATTCATAACTGAGTACTAGTCCTAAAAATGGTTGAAGAACTGTAAAATATTTTAAGAAAATATGTTTTGGATATGGAAAGTCTTTCAGGGTTTAACAGCTCAACATTTTTGACTTCACCACATGAAAAAACAAGATTTAGTAAAATAAAAGCTCTTAGTAATGAATCCTAGTTTACATCTGTTTTATGTATTCAAGGAGGTGTCATGTCTTTGGATTCGAGGGGAAACCAACTATTAAAGCAAAAGGCTTTTATGTCTCTAATCAATCTGTCAACATAATATCTAAATTAACCTCAAAGGCAGACAGAGATGGTTTCTTTTATTGCAAATTCAGCAGTGGAAAAAAGAAGAAGGTATTAAAACTTTTTTTTTCATAAGTGGGGCAGACTATACACTATCTCTTCTAACTTCTGGAATTACTTTTCTTTAATCTCTGCTTTCCCAAATGTACGTAAAATCGTAAAATCATTGACATGCCAACCATTTATATTTTCTCAATGGCTGTCCTTTCACCACTGTTTCTTTATACATATTATAAACATATTAGTATACTCTGACTGATGCTGTTGTCAGAAAACCCTGTGCTGTCTGACTGTTTAATAGATGCTTGAGCTAAGTGGTGGCAGCAGCAGCAAGCTGAGCAGTCCTTCATCGAATGGATCTGTCCTTAGGTCTCTCTCTGACTTGCAAGTCCAGCGCTAAGAAGCACTTACTACAGCGGAATGTCACATTTCCCAGCACGCTTAATGTACAGTAACACAGCATACAGAAAATCTCATTAGCATTCTTGGGGTTTGCACCTAATTGTCATACTATTAACGCCCCTGGATCAAATCAGCAGCATCGTGTACAGCATGTTGGAATGGGAATCGCATAACCTAAATTAATTAAACAGATAGTGGGAAAAGCACATTGGGACCTCGAGTGCTCTTCTATGTACAAAGTGCTATTTATACAGTGCTCCCCCATTACAAAGAAACCAGTCATAGTGCATTATCAGTAATAACACAGTGAGGTCATGGCTCTCATTTCTCACATGATGCTAATTTGACCCAATCTCTTCGAATTAACTGCAGAAAATGCTGTTAAAATAAACTAGGTGGGATTCGCAAAAACTAAGACTTTAAGCACCTTAAATGGAGAGGCATTCCAACCTGTCACTAACTGTATATTTTCATTATTGTATCAACATGTTAATGTGTTTATTTTGAAGTCAGAACATCAGGCACTTACAAAGGCCTCAGGATTACATTGCATTTGATTTCTAAAAGCAAACCAAACACACAACTCGCATGTTATTAAACACGCACCTAACATTACTACTGTGTAGGAATTTTGATGGATTCTGTTACAGTTTATAAAATGTATTATAAGGATATAGTATTTAAATGAAAATGTGTAGAAGGTTGTTGTGGACACTGTACATATGAAAAACATAAAAGACAATACTCCCTATAATACACAAATAGTCCCCACAGCATAACGGGATAGCACTGTAAATGCAGTTTAGACAGTAAATCCCTTCAATTGTTTGCTTAATTCTATTAATATATTTAAGGGTTCAACCCCACCTTCCTGAAACAAAAAAACACAAACAAAATGTATTAAATCAGTGTATTCAAGCTCCTTACCTCTGGTCCAATGATTATGAGAATTACAGATGGATCTTCCTGGTGCCATTCTGAAACACAAAATAATCAACATAAGAATGATTTCTGCAACCATCTGAAGAGCTTAACAAGTTCTGGACTTTTTAGTATTTATAAAGAAATAAGAACATCGGTATGTGCATGGCAGGAAAATAAGGTTTGATCATCTCAGAATTAACTTAACATATGCATACATAAAGCAGCACTGCTGTAGCTAACTGTTCAGTTACCATACCATATCTAAAAATGTAGAAATTATGACATTCTGTTACTTTATCAATATATCCTTTTTGAGTTTATTTCTTTTTTATATTTATGCCTTATGTTGACAAAACACAATAAAATACTTATTGTATTTTCAGATTTCATGTCAATCTGATACTGTATGTTCATGTTGAATTGCTTATTTGAACCTGTTAAATATCCAACACATCTCTGATTTTAGATTTAGGAAACATAATCATTCATTTAAATATTTCTTTCCTCTTTATGCTAATGTAAAACAGTAGTTCCAAAGTCCTACATTCTCAGTCTGACTAAAAATTCAAACAGATTCAATTCACATCTAGTTTGAAGAGTAAAACCACTTAATAGAGAAACAGAAAATCTTATTAATAGCAAGTTATCACTTTACATTGTCCGTCTATTCTCTTCCATTTTCAGATACACTGAAAATTCAATTTAACAGGTTTTAATTCTGCCTTAAAAATGGTTTAAAAATGTAAATAAATGTTTTTAAATTTTAAGAATTACAGTTTCATTGAGTAATTTGTGAACATTATCATCAGAAGGCTAGTTAACAATAATTAATCTTTATGCTCATACCGGAAAATACATCTACTAGATACAAAGGATCCTTGACTCTTCTTAGGCCACAGACCAGCAGAAAAACATGCAGATCTTCTACATTCTCACAGTTTACCCCTGTAAACACATAAAACATATGCAATAACTGCCAAGAAGCAGTTGTAGTGATAAACATCTTTACATAATTACAAAGTTATGACAGTGGGATACTAAGTAGAACATCTGATGAGACTGTATGCTCCTATTGTTTTGACTGATCTATTAATTTACAGAAACAGAAGGAGAGATATTTGGAATGATTCCTCAGCAATAGCAATTTAATTCTTCTTTAAACAGGATGAGTCAGTAATGTATTATGATTGACTGAATGAACATTATTTTGTCTTGCTTGGGAATTTTTGAAAGCAACTTAATTTAACAGCAGAAGAAATTCCCTGCACTGGAGCACTTCTCAGTTATTAGCAGCTTTCACGCTGAATCTGCTGCTGGATAAACTGGCGCATACAACGTTTTCTGCCTGCTCTAGCCTTCTGCAGTTTAGAAACTTTGATGCTAGCACTAAGCACTGCAAACACAACTGCTACCAGGCCTTCTGTTGCCTTTAATGCACTTCTTGGGATTACAACCAGGCAAAGTACAGTTTTAAAGAAGGACCTTTTCATTAGCAGCCAGTCTACTTATGCACTGGAGTAGTACAGTACATAGCAGTTTTATAGTCAATGCATTCAACAGAGAAACATTAAAAACAATATATTTACCTCACACACAATTACACAAACAAAACAATGTTAAGTAAAGTACTAATTTATGACTAAAAACATAGTCCCTCTACTTTATTTTATGCAGGTAAACTGAAATACCATAAAATATAAAGCAGAAATAAATACATAAAAATCAATATCACCAATAACAGCATGATTTAAAATATTGTCATGATAGTTTATTAAATATGCGGCATTGTACAGAGTGTTGAGCAAGCTGAGGAAAGTTGTCCTGTGTTGGATTTGCACTGGGAATGGTCGTTTAGATAACCTGGTTAGAGAGACTGAATATGCGGGTGCCTGGACAAAGAACAGCAAGGTTCAAAAGCTGTTGCTGGACTTGTGCCACAGCATACTGCATAAAAGAAAGACTTCACACTGATGTTATCCATGATTACAGGGAGGCCAGAAGATTATACTACTTATCTAGTGTTGCAGCCTCACTTGGATTAAATTGGAAAACTGTCAAATATGGTACAAGCAATAGAGCAAACCCTGAATAACACTGCCTGAACGGACTGCCTAAATCTGCATGCATGCCATTTTTGCATTGCATTACCATAGGGGTGCACACATCCATGTGCTAATGCTTAAAGGTTTTACAGTAAACCTATCAAAGCCTTATCTGCACTGTGCTCTCTTTGGAGCACTAGTCCCTTACAGCAAAGCTTAAAACATTGGCTCACAAGCTTAAAGCCATCTGCGACTCCACGAGGAAGGAAAGTACATGCTGGGTTAAAATCTATCTTAAACTACAATATAGAATCCACCTTATTTTGTTACATTATTGGAATATTTAAACTTGTTCTCATTAAGGAAAAGATTAATTAACAAACTCATTAAATTTCTAACTGGTTTGAATCTCATGTTAATGACGTTTGCAGTGCTATATCACTCAATTAATGCATTGTAACAGAAGATTCTATCTCCAGCTGAATTAAACCAGCAACTGTCTCTTCACTTGACTCTACCTCAAGTTAGCTCAGTCTATTAATTCGGCACTGTCAGTGGTCATACCCCAATTCAGACTTCTCAGTAAGTGTGATTCAGATTGTTTCCAAGAAAGCTGACAAGTCCTTAGCTAATTCCACATCTGCTCTGGCACATGACAAGCTTGACAATATAGCACATACTATAAAGCTTGAAGTGTACCTTAATGAAGAAATCTGTATCATTTTTCAGCCTTCAGCCTATTTGCTATTTATGCCAATAAAAAATCTTACATGTCTTTAAACACATCATTGTTCAATGTTCTTAAACATTAATTGTCAGAAAAAGTAAATATTTTTTTAATCTGTTTATCAGATCAGGCACTTGAGAAAAGAAAAGTCATTACGATAGGGAAACTGATGAAAAGGTTCACACAAAGGCAGGAAAACAAAGCCCTAAAAGAACAATTTAAAATATAAATAACAGGAGATGATCATATTAACAAGTGCAAGTACCAGGCAGAAATTATTTAACCACACAGTGAAAAGTGCCCTCAGATCCAAAGAGGAACATGTTCAGGTGACTCTGCAAATTGTTCCAATCATTAGCAGAGGCAAATTGAAATGACGTGCAGTACTTGCTTGTGGAAGAGTCAATTTAACACAAGTGCTACATCTTAAATTGCAACATGGCACAGAGAACTGTAACAAAAAATGCAGACAGGAGGGTGTTTTTCTAAATGACGTTTTATAAATAACCTTAAACCAGTGAAGCTATTAAATGGTGTTAAAAAAGTCAATTAATTACAAAAAGTTAATAAAAAGCAGGTATCCAAATAACAGTAATTAAAATAGCTTAGTTAAAGCTGAGTGTAGTATAACTGAAATAATAATCAGTTTATAATTATTTTTAATTAGCAATTAGCAACAATACACCTTTCACCCAAACATTGTTCTCCAACTTCTCCTTTCACAGACAGATACCCAACAGTGTTTCCCTGTTATAAACATGACTTGATATTACACAAACGGAACACTGTTAAGCTTAATACTAATTTTTGACTAAAAACATAGTCCCTCTACTTTATTTAATGCAGGTAAACTGAAATACAGTTTGATATAATGGGGAATCAATGATAAAATGGTAAACCTCCCACTTCACTCTTAATGCAATTTGACTTAAACCTACCAAGTAAAGACATGACTTCCAAGTTCTGAGACATGACTGACAGAAGAAACTGGAAATCCCCAGTTAAAATTAAAAGCATAGTAGGCATTAAAACATGACACTCTTAACAGCATGCTTAGAAGACACTTTGCAGTGTCAAGCCATTCTGTTAATTCTAAAACATTTTCGGGCTATGGTACAAAAATATACATTTACTGATAGTAATTTATATAGCACATATCATTACAGTGAATCTCAATTTGCTTCACATAAAAGAGCTAAAAGATAAGTGAGGGAACTTAAATTACTTAGAAGGAACAAGATAGTCACCCATAGCATGTAATTTGATTCAGGAGACCTACAGCAGATTAAATTGACCTGATCTTAAAGACCAGGGTGAAGTTTGAAAAGTTGAAGGTCAGTGAGGTAAATGGGACCTCGGCCTTTTAGAGCCTTACAAACAAGAAGAAACACTTTAAAATGCATTCTCTGGTGGATAGGGAGTCAGTGGAGCTATGCTAGAATACAGTATATACTCCAAAGAGGTGTAAATACACTTTAAAAAATCCTTAATTTTTTTAGACCCATCCACACGTTATCCCAGTCTGGTGTAATATTGTGAGATCAGGAAGAAATTGAAAAAGCATTTACTGTAAGTGATGAAGCAGATGTTAAAGCAACATAGGGTAGCTGTGGCAGTTTAAGAAGAGGCATTAGGTGGATTTCTTATAAAGGGCAAATACAATCTACACATGAAGAAGTTTCAGAATCATTTGTATAACATTGTTTTAAAGTAGTGCTGTAAGATACTTGCAAATGGAAAAAGAGTTAATTATTAATTGTTCCTGGATGAATTTGCTTCACTTTATAACACTAACATTCCCACAAGCATTTTAAATGATCTTTGTGATGTTATGGAAAATTATGGTATAAATAGTCTTATACTGTTTTGGATATCTACACATGTTTAGTGCACAACATACTGTTTTAAAACTCTGCGGCTTTAACCTTATGGGATTGTATTGATTTGCTAAACTATTCAAAATGTGAGTGTTTATCAATTTGAATATCTTCATAATCTTTTAAAATTAAGAACACAGCTGAGACAAAAGACTTGAAAATTAAGTATTTTCAGAAAATGGG